CTCGCACTTACTAGCCTGTACAAACAAGTTAGACCTTCAAAGCACTTCAAACACCTTCACCGTAGTTCCCCTCAGCTCTTCCAACATCTGACCATAGATGAGTATATCATCTATGTAGACAACTACTCCCTTTCCTAACAGCTCTCAAAAACTCTCATTCAAGAAGTGCTGAAACACAGCAGGAGCATTTCGTAGACCATCTCGGACAACAAGAGACTCGAACATACCGTACTGAGTCCTGAACGCCATCAAGTGTTCGTGTCCTTCCTTTACTCATAGGAGTTGATAAGCCCCAATCAGATCTAACTTGCTGAAATACCTCGCTTTTCCCAGCTCTTTGGTTATCTGGCCGATCAGAGGCAGTGGATAGGCGTCGGGTATCGTTGCCTCGTTTAACTTTTGGTAGTCAATGACCATTTGCCATTGACCTTTTGCTTTCTTCGGTACCAAGAACATTGGTCATCCGTAGGGCGAATTACTGGGTCAAATTCTTCCGGCCAATATTTCGCGATCTAGGATGTCTCTCAGCGCCCTTCTCTGATCTTCTCCGAGTGAGTAGAGTGGAGCAACCTTCAGGTTCGCCCCCTCCTTAAGATCAAACTCCAGATCATATCCCCTTGAGGGATGTAATTCTTCACCTCCCTTCCTCGGGTTAAACACATCAATGAACGGGTGATACTGTTCAGGAACCACCTGATACAATTCCTCCTGTTCCTCCGGACTCAGTTCATCCTTGTCATCTTTGTCTCGGAGATCTATTGCGACCGTCGGAGTTGGCAGTCCTATGGCGCTAACTTCGCCGCACTTGGTGGTCTCGGAATGGGGAATTTTACCAAGTTGTCTCTTCCATCAAGAACAAACCCCTCCTTCCTCATCCAGTCCCACCCTATTACAACATCTGCATTGCAGAGCGTTTTTATATCGAGACGAACAGATCACACTTTGGCATCCTTCCTCAAACTAAAACCGACTTTGACAAACTCGGTGATAGGTCCAGCGACACTAACCAAGCCATCAAACATGTGAACCGGTACGCTCACCTGGTATTGTATCCTCTTCACATTAATCCTCGCTGCTGCTCTAGGACTTATATATGAACAAGTAGCCCCAGTGTCCCAGAGCGTTGTTAGTTTAATTCCATTAACAAAAATGTCGATTTAGGTTGATCTCTTGAAATAGTGGGTGTCAATTATACAAAATGGGTGCATGAGGGTAGTTACGTAATCTCCCCAATATTCCCCAATCTGGTAATTTTGGATTGCAACCGATGTAAACATTTCCAAACTCATTTTGAGCATTTCAAGACTTCCAAATTTCATCAGTATGTCTCCTTACAGCCCAAAGCCTTCACTAACAGATTCAGACCATTGTTCGGAGCAGATACATACCTCAATCATGCCACCTCGATCAGCCGTCACCCCGGGCCAAGTACCCCTTCACCCCCCTCCCCTGCCCAAACCTCGTCCTACTTTAAAGCTCTCTCAAGCTGTTCCATTATCGCCCCCATGGCCTGAACAATCAGAGGATGACAGTGATGTTGTAGAGACACGTCCTGTACAAGTGAAACAGACTAAATCGTCAAAAAAAGCCCGTCCTCTTGATTGGTCAAGAGACGGGGTTGATGGGGGGCCAACTTCTCTTGATATACTGTTGCGTTGGCTGGAAATTCCGGGGAATGTGGATCGCTGGCGTAATGGCTTTGAAGGACAAACCCAGAAGAACACGATGGAAGCATGTGCAGCCTGGCTGAGTGAGAATGGAAGCCCTACGGCCCGAGATGCTTCAGCCTGTAATAGCAAGGTGGGTTTGTCCTTCTTCCTTCTCCGTTATTGTAAAGCTAATGACACAGATTCATGGTCTTTTTGCTACTTGGAAAGAAGCGAACACCTACCGTCATAGTACTGGTGCAGGGGAGGGTGGCTATATCATTGCTCGGGCTGAAGAACAAGGGGTTGAGGAGGATATTGCGGCTGCAGTTTCTCGAGTAGATCGTATGTCCCCATCTCCTTATGTTATCATTGAATCTTCCTTTCTTGGGCTGACAGGAAGGTAATACTCGCTACAAGTGCCCTCTTTGGGACACTCTCAATCCCATTTTCAAGGACAGAGACAGTGGGGACCCCTCCTTACGGTCCGATTCAACTCAGCCGTATAATCCTGCTTTGGACTCGCTATCTTCATCTCTTGGTGTAAACCTCAGAGCTAAGAACAAATATCCCATGCGTAACCAGGACTCAGACAGTGATGATGAGGATGGCTCTATGAACGATTTCCAACCACCTGGTACGCCTGCAACTCTGGCCGAAGCAGCAAGTTATTCGTCAAAGAATACAAAGAATGACAAATCAAACTTGCTGAAAGGGACACCTCCTACTAGTCTTTCTCGTTCATCTTCTAGTCTGTCAGGAACTCAGGGAGGCAAGGAGTTACCTTCAATTAGTGGAAAGCGTATGCGTATGTGGTCTTGAGCTTCCTCTGTGTCCCACTTGCTGATGCACGTCAGGTAAAAGAAGTTCTACGACAAAACAAGAAGGTGATGAGATCCTTGACGCTTTCAAAGAACAGGACGACCAATATCATGCTGCAAAGCTGGCTAAGATGGATGAAATGTATCGTTTGAAGGCTAAGAGGATGGCTGGAGACTACACCAAGGCTATATTTGAAGCAGCTGCCATTCTCATGAAGGTAGATTCGACCAGAAGTTGGGGAGACTGTCTTGCAGAAGCCCGGGCTGAAGCTGAGCGTCACCAGTAGAGCTTGTAACATACTTAGCTATGAGATTCATGCAGGACATACCCTGGGCACTAAAGTTCAGGCTGCTCTGGGTCATATTCCAACATTTCATCCACCAACCTCTCCCTTCGGACATGACCTAACTTAAGATCTGGATACTCTCTCCGACCATCAATCGATCTTACCTGGACTGGTTCTTCAACACCAAGCCCACCTCTGATTTCTTCTGCACTCAGGACATCATTCCAGGTTGTGATCATGAGATTATGTAGCATAAAAGCAGCTTGAATCATGAGATGAGCCCGAGCTTCGTCACTTTTGTTACCAACCCGAAGTTTCGCATTTCGTAGAAACTGCCATCGTCCCTTGAGGATACCAAATGCGTGTTCGACAGCCACTCGGGCCTTAGCAGCCTTTTTATTGAAGTATTCCTGGTCTCAGCATCACTCATATATTCAGAGGGTCTGTCATAGGACAAGGGTCTTGTTTTGAGGCCCCGGGAACACTTCAGCTTGAATCAGAGTGGTTTTCGCTATCTGATAATTCAACAATGATATGGTTTTTATTGTAGCTCGAATGGTTCTGTTGTTAGAGTGCTGTAAGTAAGTCTCCTCTTGCCCAAAGTTCCTGCAGGTCCTGAGTTCAATGCTGGGTGTTGTCATATATTGTTTTATTTTCAGTGGATGATGTTGAGGATCGCTGCTCTCAGCTGTTCACCGGAGCCTCCTATTGAAGCTGACCTTTTTTGTGTTGCTTGGCGTGGGATGAAATGCTGGATCAAGGCTGAAGTGTTCCCACGGCCTCAGAGACACACCTTCTTCCAAACACAGTGGCTTGACACAACTTGCCAGGTCTGCAGATACCCAACGGGGTCGGCGGCGAGGAAGGGGAAGGGGAAGGGGAAGGGGAAGGGAAATACCAAAAACTCACCTTGCGAGGTTGTAGTAGGAGCTCCCCTTGGTTCCTCTTGTACATTGGCACTATAGTGGTTGTACAAGTGAACCCTGAATCTGCCAAAAGAAACTCTCCTGGGTCAAAGTACTCCCGGGGACGAAGGTGTGGACCCATGGATTGTTGAAGTCGCATGTCAGATGATCGAGCTGAAAATCCCCAATGTAGAAAGGTGAAACGCTTCCTGTGGTCCACTGCTGCAAGTACATTGAAGCCATATCGTTCTTTTCTCGAATGAAATGAGCCAGAGGCAGGACCGATAGCAGGGGCACGATCAAGGTTGATATGAATACCGTCTATAAAACCAAGACAATGAGGGATGGCGTGAACATCGAGTATGTGTTGCTTGATTCTTGGTCTTTCTTCTGGCTCGGGCCACCTGATAACTTCTTTCAAGCGTTTACACATTGCATACAGGCTACGGGACGTCCATTGGTTGACAGTTCCACCTAATGGTCAACAAAAGAACAATGATATTGTTCTGCAAAGATAACAAAATGGCGTGTTGATTTTACTCACGGGAGATACCAAATGTCCTTGCTATTGTGGCTGTATCATGTCCATGAGCCAAGCGGAATACTAAGAGTCCCAGCTGATATAGAGAGGGTGCTTGTGGCTTGGTCCCTACGCTTCTAAACACCTCATCCCTCCCAAACATCTCATCCAACCTAGACATTTCGGCTGTTGTGATTCGGAAGGCGTGGGAGTGCTGGGCCTCATTGATAAGGTAGAACTCGGCACAGGTAGAGTATATGGAGGAGGGAGGAAGGTCTTTTCGATAAGCAGGACGTTTGTAGTATCTTTGTTCTTCGATTGTTTGTTGATACACACGGAGAGTAGTACAGAGACGCAGGAGACGTTGAGATGGTTGATTTTTGAGGATTCTAGCGATCAGGTGGTCAATCTTTTGCAACATACGTTGCTTGTGATTACTTCTGGGCATATTGTAAAAGAGCTTGAGACAGAAAGTGGTTGGTGGAAGAAGATATGGCAAAATATAGAACAATCAACAGTACTAAAGTGGTAAAAGAGTTGGAAAACAGTCACGTCAGGGAGGGTAGAAAGGACATTACGTAATATTTCATGCATATTTACACTTGGGGTGTCATTTCCTGCCGCCGAGCCAAATTACTGCTAATTCTAGAATTGACACCCACAAATGGAGGGGATGGGGAGATGATTATCGACATTGCATGAACAAGGGGTACTGAGTGGTTTATTTTGGTATTCACAATCCTCTACCTCCATCAGCTGTGTCTTTTTTATGGTTTTAGGAATGGTGGCCGAGAGAATATGGCGGACCCGCCAAGCCTCGCCTACTGCGACAGGTCCTCTTCTTTTCCCTGGTCCCCTTCCATCTCTCCTTTGCCTCCAACTGCGACCAAGTTCCTCCTCTGCCCCAGAGGTACTGCGTTCCCCCCCGATCCTCCACCGCGTTCTCCAAACTTCTCCCCCCATGGAGGCAACAATCCAGCCTTCACCTTAGCCTGCCTTACAGGACATTCCTTCAGCCAATGTCCCGTTTCACCACACTCCGTACACTTCCCTTCTTTCCTCCTTGTCTGCCTCAGATCGGAGCTTGGCCTAGGCCATCTTCGGCGAAGTTCGTCGAGGTTCAGTGGTGCACTCCTCCCCACCGTCAACATCATAGTCGCCTGGACCCCACCCTGCGCCAAAGGTTGCCCCTTCTCCTTGTTCTTCTCTTCTTTCTTCTCTGTCCTCTGACTTTTCACCACTGTCGTTGTCCTTACCCCTCCTTCCTTCTTCCTTTCTGCCTCCTTCTCCACTTGTCTCCTCCACAGGTGGTTGTCCAAGGGAATAACAAACTCCAATAGTTCTTTCACAGTCCCAAACGATCTACCGTGTCTTGCAATTTCATCTAGGAGGTGTGATTTTAAACCTTTCTTGGCCCGATCAACTAGGTTTCCGTCATCAGACCACTTGAGTATCGCAACATGCCGCTGAAAGGCAGAGAAGTAGTCTGAAGCAGACCCGGTCTGTTTGAGATTGTTGAGCTGTCGGGCTGCCGTTCCTTCTTCATCGGGGTCACCAAAGTTAGTCTTGAGGTACTTAACAAACTGATTGTGTGTAGTGAGATACTCAGGAAGGGGTGTTTTTGATAGATCTGGTTGGACAGCAAGAAGAGGTGTTTCGCACAAATGAGAGATCATGAAAAAGACTTTCTTAGTATCGTCGGGGAAAAGATGAGAGTTTAATTTGAAGTGTACGTCGCAATCAGACAGAAAGGCGGTTAACTTATTCCGGTCTCCTCTCCAAAGGTCTGGGTTAGGCAGCTTTATCCCCTTCCGTTGTTTCCCAACTACGCTTGGAGTTGCCAAAGTTTGCTGTCCCATGGCGTACCTCATCCCTTCCGATATCCCTTCTGCAATTCCGCCCTCTGTCTCTCTTTCCCTTCTCTGCTCCCACTCCTCCCTACGCCAACCCTCCTCCATCATGTCCTTGTTCATATTTGCCACCATCTGCATCAAGGCTAACATCACCCCTTGTGTCCCTTCTTCTCCGAAGTCCGTTGCACTCCCAGTGTTTTCTCGTGGGTGTGGGGTTTGATCTGATCCAACTGGGGATCCTACAGGTGGGAGAGCATTAGCCGCAGGGGTAGGAGGATTAGAAGGCACTGGCAGAACGAACTCATCTCCTTGAATTGATTCCCCCACACTATCTTCCACTCCAAGGTCCTGCCCCATTGCTCTGCTAAGCTCCTCCAATGCTCTCCTCTTGTTCTCCTCCATCATGTCTCCATCCCTACTCATGCCTGGCGTAACTCTCCTCTCTGGTGCCATCATATCTTCGTACTTCTCTGAGGTTCGCACGGGTCATCGTTAAGAGCGATCCTTGATACTGTCACGGCTGTGGAACAACTATTTTCTAACAGACCGATGGTCGACAAACCTTGGCTAACTTGAGGCTTCTAAGTCGATGTCTCACCCAACCAGGAGGGCGCAGACGTCAGAAGGAGTGTAACTACGGTGTACTTCGGCGTAGTTACTCTAACTGTGTAACGGTACTGGAAACACGATGACTAGGTCGCAGGTTGGGTCGAACTCGATGGATGTCTCGTGGAAATCTAGGGGCTCTGGTGCTAATGGATCGTGTCTCCTCTGCAATCGATGTAGCCAAAGAATGATATTGAAGAATCAGCAAAGTTGGTACTTTGCTGATTGTACTATATACTGTCTACAGGTTTCCGTCTCCTCTTCTCAGTCCTACTGCAAGCGTCCATGTACATACTCGGACAGGTGAAAAACCGCTTTGAGCAAACCCAGTGGGAAAATCTCAAAAGGGGAAAACCCGTCCCTACCTACTGCAGCACTGCCTCCAACTCCCGCTTTCCTCTATCCTAATCTGTCGAACTCGATAGAGTTCTCTCGATTCGTTGTCACCCCGTAACAAGTTTCCCCCCCTGTCTCAAGGATCCTCGCCGAGGATCCTGAACCCTGTAACCAGGTGATGCACATGGATTGTTCTCAGACACCTTTGTTGTGCCCTGACATCATACCCACGCTAGTGTGACGGTTGCCATGAAACGTGTCACCCGCACGGACCTCCAATGTGATCGAGAAATTACTGACCAAGTTACCTCCCCGTCTTCTTTTCTTCTTTCCTCCTCATTCTCTCTTTACCTCTTGTTTGTCGTTCTTTTTACTTATCTATCATTATCCATCCATATCTTACTCATATCTTAGAGTATCCTTCCAACTCTGACCTGTCTGTGAGCATGTCTAAGCGTACTGTAAGCAATTCCTTTCGAATATGATGTATATCCTTCTATTTCTCACTGGCTGACGAGACTAGTTGTCTCCTTCCACCTCCTCCCATCAAACTCAAGCTTCTACCCAGGCAATCCTACCTGACGTCGACCCCGAACTTCTCATGCGTCAAACGAAAAGAATGAGAATTACTTCCCAAGTGCCCGTTTCCTCTCAACCCCCATTGGTTGATGCGTCTCGACGAGCTCTCGACACCATTAAGGAGAAGTATCAATCCGGTCCTTCTCGCAAACCACAATCGTCCCTTGATGACCAGGTCATCGAGCAATATATCGACTTCGAAGGGGGTGCTGGGCCATCTGCCACTGGTGAGAACCTATCTCCCGCCAAGTCCGTCGAATCCGAATACGGCACCGTCGTCGAGAATGAAAATTCTCCTGGTAAGGAGCCCCCTGCGCCACCTTCTGATTATTCAGAGGAACTTGTCGAGGTTCCCAATGAACTCGAAACCATTTTTCACGCCCCTCACAAGGTTCAGGTCAATGATGAACTGGTTAAGTTGCTCCAGGATCGAAAAGACTCCGAGATCGGTGAGAATTCCACCGAGTTCTGTTTGCTTCTGACTTGTTAGCTACCCTTTGGTCCAACATGACCTTCTCCTCTGTTCGTCTCGCGTTGAAGAACGAAGCTCTGGATCGTTTCCGCAAAACCAACGCCATCAAGCCCACTGTAAAGTGCTTTAGGAACGCTGTAAGCCTCGAATTCTCTCAAGTTTCATCGATTCTAATCATTAGCTCGATCGTTTGGCCCAAGGTTGGCGCCTCCGCAACAAAAATGGTGCTGTTGTTCGGCTAGAGGGTGAGCTCTGTACCGATTGTCAACATTGTCTTGATGGTGGTGAGTCTTTCGTGTTGGTTGTATTGGCCCTCGTAAGTTCTTGTTGCGACTCGTTCGATGTTGATGCAATTCAGTCGGTGGTGTGTGCGGTGAATGTTATGCTAAGGGTACTTCAAAATGTTCGGTGAAGACCAACAATCCTGAGTCCAAATTTCGTGAGGTACCTGTCTATTTCCTTTGAACTTGGTCGATGTTGATGTATAGGGTATCGTTGTGGGAGCAAGAACGGTCACTTCCAAGGTTACCTTTGTCCTGGAGCACGAACTTTGTGCGGCTTCGGTCCGTTATCGATCCCTTCCTGCCCATGATCAGTCCACCTGTCTGACCCAACTTTTGGGTTACATCCATCTCTTTACCTCCCTTCTCCTTCCTCTCCCCTCTCAACATCTGGATCTTTACAAATCTCTCCATCTTATTTCTGCCAACTACGCTCCTCCTACTGCCGATGAAACTCTGGATCATCTTACTTCTACTGGTGATCCTACAGGATTGAGTTCCTCTCAACCAGTCGCCGGTCCATCCTCTTCTCCCCATACTCCTCTTCCCCGCAATGTCATTTGTATTCCGGCTTCAGCCCGTCGTCCCCAAGCCAATTCTACCACCTCCAATTTCTAGTGTGTTTATATCTCTCTATTTGTAGCTATATATTTCCTGTGTATGCATTCATTTCCGACCCAGTCTTGTTGATCTTGATTGAATTCTCACTTTCTTCTGGGGTCCCTTTTCCTCTGTTCCAAAAATTCACCAAAAAAGGCCAACTCCTCTACATTTTCTCGTGGTTCCCAGTCATAGGCCGCATTTCCTGTGTATCCTAACCATTTTACCTTGAATTCTTCTTTCCCTCGTCGAATTCTGCTGTCCACAATTGCTTCCACATGGAATTCTTCCTGGCCGTTAATTACTACAGGTGGTGGGGGTGGTATCTGTCGACCTGGTATCATGTCCTTAGGATATGGTTCCAACAGCGTGACATTGAAGACATTGTGCACTTTCATTGATGGAGGTAGATCTAATTCGGAAGCATTTTTCCCAACTTTCCTTATGATCTTGAAGGGGCCAATGTATTTTGCTTCTAATTTTCGACTGGGTCGTTCTGTCGTAAGATACTTCGTACTCAGTAGTACCTGTTCTCCCTTTCTGAATTCTTCTGGTATGCTCTTGTGTCTCCTGTTGTAGTATTCTGCACTAATCTCATTAGCCATCCTGACCTGTTCTTGAACAGCCGCATGTAATTCTCCCATATCTCTCCATTTCTTCTCCAACTTGTTTGACTTCAATCAAATATCGTGCGAATGGATGTCGTAGTGTGGCACATAGCCGTAACAGGCTTCAAAGGGACACAGACCGTGGCTACTATGTGGCGAACAGTTATAAGCGAACTCAGCAATTGGTAGAAGTTGATCCCAATTGTCCATGTTGTAGTTTACATACATTCCGAGCAGGATTTCCATCTGTTGATTTACTCGCTCAGTTTGTCCATCTGTTTGAGGGTGATACACAGTCAAATATAAGTTCTTTATTCCTAAGAACTGACATATTTCCTTCCAAATTTCCGCTGTAAACTGAGTTCCCCTATCTGATACAATTGTTCGGGGTACTCCATGTTTTGAAAAGATCTCCTTGATGTAGATGTCAGCCACTTTGTTCGATGTTAGTCCAGTTGTACATGGAATAAATCTAGCCATCTTGGTTAGTCGATCGACTATCACTAGTATCGCGTCGAACTCGGTTGATTTTGGTAGGGGTCCCACCATATCCATAGAGATATCTGTCCACGGGAGTGTGGGTACTGGTAAAGAGACTAGATGTCCATACGGCTGATGTCGATGAGTCTTATGTCGGTTACAGATCTCACATCCTTTTACGTATTTCGCAATATACTCGTCCAAATGTGGCCAGTAATAGTCCTCTTTGACCATGGTGATAGTTTTGTCTCTTCCTGGATGACCCACTAGTATCGAATCGTGTCTTGCTTTCATTACTTCTAATCTTGCCTGTCCCTCTGGTATGACTACTCTGTTTTTGTACAAGAGTAATCCGCTCTGTGTCCATGATACTATTGGTGTCTCGTTGCTAGCCTGTGTCTTCTGTGTGTCCTGTGTGTTCTGTGTGCTCTGTGTGTTCTGTGTGCTCGGTGTGCTATGTGTCTGTGTCATTTGTAGTCCTAGTTGTCGTATGTTTGCTAGGTCTTCTGAGTCTTTCAGTCCGTTCTTGATGAGTCCGAATAATGAGCCTTCCCGGATTGCTCCTCTTACTATATGTCTTGGTCCTTTGTGTTCTGAGTCCATTGAATTCGATACAATTTGTTCGTGTGTTGGTAGCAATTGTAGCCAGTTACCTTTGTTTAGGTCTGGGTCCTTGCTACTCCCTCTTCCCGGATGATAATCTCCTCGTCTAGTCAGAGCATCTGCTCCCCCATTTTTGCTACCTGGTCGGTAAGTGATCTCTATGTTGAAGTCTCCCAATATTTCCAACCATCTCATCTGCCTTTGATTTAGTTGTCGTTTGCTTTGGAAGTATTCTAGGTTCTTGTGATCTGTAATGACTTTTATAATATCACTACTGTTAGCCAAGTAGGGCCTCCAGGCGAACAAGCAGTCCACGATGGCTAGTAATTCTTTCTCTCCTACCGTGTAGTTTAGTTCACAGGGTGTCATTGCTCGAGACCAATACGCAACTGGGTGAAGTTTGGTGGTTCACTTTATTGATGGGTGAGGGAATCTTTGAGACGCTATCGCACCTATCGCGCAGTCGGATCCATCGGTTTCGATCCAAGTCGGTCAGGTTCTATCAAAATGTCGAAGTACTGGTGCTGTGGTGAATGTTTTCTTTAGATCGTCAAAAGCCTTTTGGCATTCTTGTGTCCAGTTCCAAGCTTGATCCTTCCTGGTCAATCGTGTGAGAGGTCCCACAATATGTGAAAACCCCTTGATAAACCTTCGATAGAAATTCGCAAAGCCCAAGAACACTTGAGTATCCCGGACTGTCATGGGTTCTTGTCACGAACTACGTCGTGACACCTCGATTACTCCACCAACAATGACCCTCCTTTGGCCATCAAAACCCCATCACGCCTTAACCTCTTTACTCTACACGTAACTCAGGACTTCTGACACCAAGTACAGCGAAGTTAGACGGAGTTAGGCTAAGTAGGAACAATGGGAGCAGAAGTACGG